AAGAAATATCTATTAAATTAAAATCAAGTTGAGTATTTGTCCCTCTCTTTCCTCTATGTACATTCGCGTTTGCAACTTCTAAGTTCGTGCGCTTGTATTATTGTTCCCGTATATTTGCCGCAGTGTTTCATCTCGATATTTCGCTCATTCGAATCAGTTTCGAATGAGATAACTGCAGAAGATAAACGTGCTCCTCGACCCGTGAGACTTTCTCTGTTTCGCCGGGTTCGACGATCCGAAAGGCGATTCTCAGGAAAAACCCACGACTTTCATTCGTGATTAATTAAAAAAAACAATTAAATGAAAATCCAGATCAAATTAGAGTCACGCACTCGTGCGGCGCGATTGTGGAAATTCTGAATGGAAAGCGCATTGTCGACAAAAGTTTGAACTCTGCACTGAGAAAAATGTTTTGATTGTACTAATAAGACATATACATAAAAGAATATATTTTGGTGCGACCGAGCAAAATTTTTAGTTATCGTGATACGACTCGACATTTTAAAACTAGAAAGTTTGGCTGACTTTACCATAAGAATTTGATTAATGTTTTCCAGTTGGATCTCTAAAATTTCTAGTTAAAAAAAACGTCCAAATAGAATTCTGGTTAACGTTAACCGCAGCGCATTCTAACAGTTATATATCGTTATATATCGTTAATAAGAAATTCTTTATATATTTAACAGGAAGGAATTTATCATACACATCTGATAAGTCCTACAAGAATTCTGATTCATTTATTTTTGAACAGACATATTAGTTAAATTTACCAAATTTCCAGTTAACGCAAATCAAATTTTTTTTTCCTGTGTGGTGATTGTCGATAGTAAGATCAACGAGGTGAGCACCAGAATAGCGATATTTTGACATAGATTCAGATTGTATGCAAATTGAGGAATCGATTACCAAATTTTCTCTGGGGGTCAAAGAAAAGGAAGCGAAAAGTTTTTTCCATGTATTAACGAGACCGTGATATCGCGCATAATTTTTTCTTTAAATCTTTAAATTTCTACTAAAATAAGAGGTGTGAGATTCTTTGGATCACCAAAGGCCGATCTTAAACCTTGTGAAGCCTGACAAAATCTTCGAACGATCCGAATTGCGTTCAATCAACGATTACAACGGTCAAGAGTGTTCAATTAATTCACTTGTTCAATTAATTCCTTTAACATGTACGATAATTAATAGTGTTTAAGGATGGACGTGGCGCGGTACCGCTCGTCTCGACGCGAGCGCATGCCGGAGCGGATGGACCGCGACTGCATCCGACCGCGTTCGCGCACTGGTGTGCAACCAACGACCGAGAAAAAGATCGACGGTGCCCTTATAATTTGAGATCAGTTTTTACCGTTCTACGCGATTCCCCGGAGTTTCAGAATCATGAAAACGAGAACTTGCAGTCCCAAGCCACGACGCGTACACCTGTCTCGCACCACAGAGGAGCTTCGTCGGGATCTCCGAAAAATAAAGTGGAGACGAAGACGAATCACGTTTCACGCACTTAATCACGACAGAATCGCGTTACTCGGACGCGACCAATGGGATTGCACCAGTGCTCCAGCGGTTGTGGCAGAAGCGTGCTTTTAATATTGCCGCTGCTCTCGATGATACACGTAGTACGTACTGCTAAACAACCGCGTGTTATGATTAACGGAGAGAATGCGCGCGAGAATGCGTAGATAGATAGAAGCGTTGACACGCCATTGCAAGAGTTACCTAAGTCTTTACCGAATTATATATATATAAAAAAAGAGAAAATATAGATCGCCATTTAACGTATATATGAAAAAAGGACAGGTGTCTTTTTTTTCATATAGGATATTTTGCACTATTTTAAGCGATTTTCCTATGTATAATTCTTACGTACAAATAACGAAATGTATGTCCAAAAATAGATTCCCTTCCCCTCAGCAGCGGAGCAACTTTCCAAGAGCGTCAAGTGATTCTTCTCAAAGATATTGCACAACTTAATGTTTCTCTAATAAAATCGTCATAGACGAATATCGATTTATTACCGCTCTATTAAATTAAATTAGCACGAGGCATGTATACGTATAGTATATATACGATCGGGGTCTATTTTCGTTTCGTCGATTGTACGCGCAAGGACGCCGCTGTTCAGCTCTATTTAGAAAACGCTGAATGATGGATCCGACATACCGCGGTCTGTTCCGCGCCGCGCGAGCCGTGAATTAATCCCATTGAAAGCCATTAGGCGTTTTATAATGGTCCTCATTGTACGTCAATTTAGAGAACGTGCATTAAAATCCCCGCGGACCGGTCCAGGAAGGTACGGCCATATCTGTCATTTGTCTATTATCTTCATACGAAATCGTCGATTTTATCGCTAATGTCGCGTAATGTTGAGCAAGAATCGTTTACTTTTTGGAAAATTCTGAGAAGGTACACAAGACGCATCTATTATGTCCTCGAGACACCGCACGTGCTATTCGAAACAACTTTTTTTTCGTCGTGTTTTTATCGATATAAAATCATAATCACTCGATGATTTTTCGTGACACACAAAAGCATTAATATGATAATATAGTAATAACGTGAGAGGATACATATAAGAATTCTTATAAATAATTATTTGTATTATTTTGCAATGAAACGTAATAAAGAAAAAGTTGCGATTATAAAGAATAATCATACAAATGGATGCTAATGTTATTTCTTTGATGAAATTATATTTCTGTTGAAAAAATTTCCAACATGTTTCAAACATTCTTGCATACAAAAGAAAAAATACAAATTCGATCGTCCTTAATAAAGTGGCAAAAATAATGAGATGTATATTGATTAAGATAAAATATTAAAATATGAATTATGAAATTAAAAAAGACTCGCATATAAGTAGTTGTATAAATTGTCTTTTTATGATCTGCTTAAATTAAATTTTTGTATTATTCCGCAAAATAGTTTTTGAGAAAAATTTTATGAACATTTTTAAGTGAAGCAAATCATAAAAAAGATGAATTATGAACAATTACAAAACGCAAGTTTTTTTATCTCATCATCTCTCATCATCTCATATTATTTTAATTGATATACACCTCATTTTTCTTGCCATCTTATTAAGGACGATCGAACTTATATCTTCTTTTTCATACACTATGCAAGAACATGAAAATTTTTCAATAGAAACAATTCCACTAAAGAAACAACATTTTACATTTTTATATGATCTTTCTTTATAATCGCATGGGTGCGTGACAACTTTTTGTCACGTTTCGTTCATGATATAATATTTTAATATTTATTATACTATTGTTATTTTTAACATATTATTTTTTTCTTTCTGTGTAAAATATATGTCGGAATTTTTCTCAATTTTCATTTGTCGAATCTAATTTCACTCGAATTTAAGTACAAACAGATAAACAGAAATTTAATTAATTCGAATAAGTGCAGAGAAAGAGATGCAAAAGTATAACAGAAAAATGCAAAAATATTTTAAAATATTCACGTATTTGCTAATTGATTGCAAGAGATAATGTTTATTAAAAATAAATTTTCAGTAATTTTTTTTAACTTAACTCTGTATTAATTTATATTTCTAATTTGTTTAAACATATTTTGGCAATCAATTTTTACTTTTAATATAAAAAAAACACGAATTGCATGCACAGAATGAATTTTTACGGTAATTAATTATTAAATCCATATGCGCTGCTTTTCGGTCAATAGAGAATATAAATCGCATGTTTCGGTAAATTATGATGATTGAGTCCTTTTCAAATCCACGCTTTCCTTCAAAGGAGCAAGCACATATTTTTTCTTCCAATGGCCAGATGTAATTTCTCTCGTAAAGCGAACGCGAGGCGCTACCGCGTCGCCTGATCTTTCCGGATTGAATCTTGTGTCACCACGCGTATGAAACAAGATATTTGCGGTTACGCAGACAGAGAGCCTGCAGGAGTCACGCCGGAAGAGCGTTTCAGGGGTTGCTCGGTGAAAAGACGCAATCAACATAACCTCTCGCGACACGCGGTTAAACGAGCAAAACGGCGGTGGGCAAACGGCGTTAACGGTAACTCACTTCTACGAATGCTCGAACAGGATTCTCTCTCTCTTTCTCTCTCGTGATTCAGCTCTTCGCCAATGTGTACTCTGGAATCCTCGTGCGTCGTGCCATCAGCCGTCCGCTGAGCCTGGGTCGCGCAGGACATCGCTCGCACGCGTGATTCGCGTAGATTTGTGGGAGACGTGGGGCACTACCAACTTACACGCGTCAACGCCGTCAACGGCGTCAACGCTCCGAATTCGAAGTGGTGACAACGGTATGCGTTTATGCGAATTCGAGTCGAACGGAATCGCAAATCCGCAAGTCTCCGCTATTCTTCCGCGAGTCGATCCGATCCGGACAAGGAAAGGACTGAGCGCATGTATCGCGTCAATATTCCGTCAATAAAAAACTGCACTTGTATTCACGTTTTCGTTCCGTCGAAGGCCCATAAAATGCCGTGCGTTTTTAAATTGTGTGACGCCATTTGTTTTGTTACTCGAAAGTGGGAGTTTTGGCTACCGTCGGTAAAGTCGGTTAGCAACTTTGCTGATCGTCGATGTATTATCGGCGTGACATTATCGACAAGAATTTTTGCTCGAAGACTGCAGCGATAAGTGTTCGATCAGCTGACAGGCGGCATTTACTAATATATTGCGTAAGAAAAATTCGCAATTTTAAAAATTCCTCAAATTTTATGTTTGGCAATTTGAGCTCTACGAGAACGCAAATTTAAGATTTTGTTAAGTATCTAGCAAATGAGATGAAATAGAAGGTATAGCAAATAGAATAATATAATTTAATTTTTAAACTTATTTTTTTTGCATTATATATATTTTCTATTACTTTTGACAATTCTTATTATTTCTATTTATATTTTATTTGATAAATTCGTGATTTTAAGAATTCATTAATTTATGATAGTTAATTATTTGTATACATATACATATATGAGCGATATATACGTATTGTTTTTTTTTTATTTATTCTCACTTACACATCGAGAGGACCTAAATATTCGAAAGATACGAAATATCTTTTCACGTCCACCGACATTTGTGCGATTGTGAAATCTTTTTCAGAGCGATAATTGGCGCATAAATGCGCACAAGGAGTGCATCAAAGTGACCAAAGCGCACGAACGGCACGAAACGCGAGCGGCGAGGATTGCGAGGAACATGGCCGCGATGGCTGCGGTGCATGTTGCTTGACGCCTAATCTGTGTCAGTGTCGATTTGGTGTCGATCGGTCAGGATGATCGTGTCCTTCGTTTCGTGACGAGCGAGGTCTGGCTTCAACTGACTGGCGTTCTCAACGACGATGGAGTTGGGCCTGTCCAACACGTTGTTGACCGGTGATCCACGATTGATCGATCACATAGTGGGCGAAGTCAAGTCGCAGGGCATTTTCGATCAATTCCGAAAGGAATGCATCGCCGACGTCGATACGAAGGTACTTAATTCTCTCGGCTGATTCTCGACAACGAATTCCTTCGTAAGACAAAAATCGGATCTTTCTACCTATCACTTTGATTTATAGGTTAAGGCGTTTAAGCATAATTGGTTTAAACATGAGACATAACTATATAAAAAATCTCGATCATTATTCTTGTTTTTCCAACAAAGTGGAATATTTATATGCTACACAGTTATGTAATAATTTATGTAACAGATTTTTAATAAATTATGAGATTGTATTTCTTTTACGTTTTGATGCTTGGTGATCGTGATGTATTACTTCCAGAGCACATGTTGCAATGTGTATATATTGTTATACAAGAACTACGGCTTGTATTTTAATAAATGTTCTAACAATATTTTATAATATTTTGATAAACACATGCTAATATAATATCTAATGGCGTGTGTACAATTTCAGCCTGCGTATCAAAATCTGAGGACAAGGGTTGAAGGCTCAGTAAACTCTTTTCTCAGTAAGCAAGCATGGAAGCCGGATTTGAACAAGAATCAGCTCCGGGAAACTTTGCGCAAGCACATACACGACGCCCCGTATCTGGATGCTGGCGTGGAACGGATAGTGGATCAAGTGGTGAATCCAAAGGTCTATTCGGTCTTTATGTCGCAGATAGAGGACGTGGTGTACAAGTTCCTGGGTGTAGAGAGGCCAAAGGTGAAGGAGAAAAATGGCGCTTGCGGTCTTAAGGATTTGCTACCTAAAGATTTGGATCCAGTCTCACCAGAGTCCGACAAGAATAGCCTGAAGGACGAGTCTCTCGAGTCCTTGGATATAAGCGACTTAAATAATGTCGACGGCAAGCAGGACGAGAAAGTCGACGAGCAGAGGCAAGATGAGATGTACAGGGATAAGACCAGAGGCGGTTCGGAAAATGGGCACATTTCCTTGGAGGAGAAAATGTCGGACGAAGCCTATAAAGGTCTGAGTAAGAATGAGAGTAATTTGAACTTGAACACGTCCGCGAAATCGGATGACAAGCTGGACGAGGAGGAGGATGAGGTCAGTCCAACGTTCGAGCCTATCGACATCATGAACTTGAACGAATCCAACATTTCCAACGATTCGCATCTGTCGGGAATATCGGAGTTGACGAGCCACCGATCTAGAAGCCCGGACTTCTCGAACGAATTGTCGCGGGATAACTTCGAGTACAGCAATCAAGATTCTCAGCTGAGCAAAGTTTCCTCGGATTCCCGGTTGTCGATAGTGACGGACTTCGGCTCCTCCAATCACGCTTTGACACCGGTGCAAGATTCGTCGAGAGACGACGCGACGAAGGACAAGTACGAGGCCAAAGGCAATAAGGACAATTTCAAAGCGATCAGGGAGCTGGATTCGTCCAAGAGCAAGCCGGCTAAAAGCAGTTTTGACTTTGTCAAAAGTAAAGACGCGCAAGATTACAGAGACACAAAGGAGCAAGGATACAAGGGTACTAAGAGCGTGTCCTCCAAAGAAAATTCTCGCGATGCCACGGACAGTAGCGTTAAAGATAAGTACGAGCATAAGAGCAGAGAGAAGAGCAGAGACAGCGAGTCGACCAAGTCGTCGAAGAGCACAAAGGAGAGAGCCGCTGGTAAGGATGTGAAACATTACAAGGACAAGAGTAACGAGAGAAAGAAATCGAGTGGCGAGAAGTACGACAAACACAACAGTGATAAGTACGATAAGCACGGTAAAAGTAAACCTAAAGATAAAATTGAATTAGTGAAGGAAAGTACTGACAAAACTAAAGACGTTCCGGAAAATTCAAAGGACAATTCTAACAAACTCAAAGAAAAGCAAGATGAAAAGCCCAAGGAAGCGGATAAGAGAGATAAAGACGTCGTTAATAAGGAAGTGAAAGATTTGAAGGATATCTACAAGGAGAAAATCAGGGAGCTGCGAGAGAAGAAGGAATTGACGGAGAAGGAAAAGCAATTGAACAAGGACAAAGACGTTAAACTCGTTAAGGAGACCAAAGACAAGAAGGATCCTCTTAAGGATAAAAAATCGAATAAGAAGGAGCACAGAAGCTCGTCGTCGTCGTCATCATCGAAAAATCTTTCTGTGAGTTACCACGAGAGTAAAAGCAGCAAAACGTCGGAGAAGATTGCGGACGGAAAGGATAAACGGTCGGATTCGAAGGATAAAGCGAAACGAGATGAGAAACGATTGTCGAAGGAGAGCAAAGGTAAGAGTCATTACAGCAGCAAGTCGGATCTGTCGGACAAGTCTGACAAGTCAGATTCAAAGAAGGCTTCCAGAAGTGAGAAGGAGGACAAGGGCGGTAAGGTCGACGCGAAAAGGGATGTCAAGGCGAGCGGTGAGAAAACGACGAACGGCAAGAGGGACGCGAAGGGCAAGGACTTGCAGCAGGGCAAGAGTTCGGATCGCGCCGAGAAATCGGACGGTCGAAAGGAGTCGAAGTCCGACAGCCCGTCCAAGGATAAGAAGCGTAGGGAGGACAAGAAGTCCAAATCGAAGGACGATCACTCGAGTTTACGGAAGAACTCGAACGATCGGCGTTCCACCGACAGGGACGGCTCGAACGGCTCGAGTAACAAAACCTCGCCCTCCAACAGCTCGAATTCCAACGCGACGAGCAACAAATCGAATACTTCGAATTTGACGAAAGACAGTCACGTCAGCAATTCCGGCAGCGAAACGTCGGACAGCATTGAGGAAACGCAAGTGAGCGATTCGAAGTTGCCGCATCAGACAAATTGTAAGTTGTCTCATAAAGTCGGTTCTCAGCTGCCGACAAATGAAAAGACGGAGACTGATAACAGCAGCGAGGCGTACGACAGACAGGAGGAAGAAGAGAACGCGGATCCGCGCGACATAAATCTACCGTTGAAGAAGAGGCTGCTGTCGGACAAAGACGGTGAATCGTCTCCCGATGTGAAGCTCAAGAAGCCGAAATTCGCGAAGAACATACACGAGGCTAAGAAACTGATGAAAATCAGGAAGCAAATGGAAAAGCAGAAACTTAAGGAGGACAGGGAGAAGGAGGATAAGAAGGTTGTACAGGAAGTAGATCAAACGAGCCAATCGAATACGAGGAACGTCGATAATCTCGAGGGCGTGCCGGACGACGAACGTGTTCAAATTATAGAGATTCCCGACGAGGAGTACGAAGAACCTTATCCCGAGAAGCACGAGCCGCCTTTAATGTTGGACGAGAGGTCGATAAATATAATAATGCCGGGAACTGAGTCTTGTGCGAACGATCTTCTAAAGGAGTTGATATCAAAAGCATCGTCGGAGGAAGCACAAGTCGTACAGGATTCCAAAACCGACGGAAAACACGAGGTGCAGCATGCGGAAGATAAAGAAGATTTTAAAGAGAGACGTAAGGACGACTCTGAGGAAGACTCAAACAACAAGACACCAAAGCGTACGATCGTTGATGAAGAAAAGTATCAAGGTCTACAAGCAGAGGAAACGCGTGTTTCGCAGAAGCTGGAAGAAGCCGCAGCTTCAGAAAAATCAACATCTCCGGGCTGTAATGAAAACAGAAATGTGAAACAATCGACGGAGAAGAACGCGGAGGTGACGCGGGATTATAATCAAGCGGAAGCACGGGATGATAACGAAGAAACGAATAATGGCAATACATTGGAAGTACCCGACGATAATAAAGAATCACCGGATGAAAAGCATACGGAAACGTGTGGGTTATCCAGAGCTGACGCAACAGATACGCAAACCGTTTGTTTGGAAAATAAATCTTCGTCCTCTGCGATTAGCGAGGATAACGAAGACTGCCGTTACTTCAAGACTGACAACGAGAAATCGGAAAGATTCTCCAATTTCTTGGAATCTCTGGAACTTGTGGAGAACTCGTCTCTGGAGGACATAATAGAGAGTCTAGGCGGCAAGGTGGTCTCCTCGATACCGAAGCCCATGGCGGCACCGCCGTTGCCGAAGACGCGCAAACGTTCGTCCAGCCCCTTGTCGGACATACTGGTGAATAATAACTCGGACAACAATAACGACGGCCATAAGCAGAAGCTGTCAGCCTCGCCCAACGAAGACGCGGTGCACACCGTGAAGAAGAGGAAGTACACCAAGAAACCGAAATTATCAAATCTATGCAATTCCCAAGGGATCTCGAACGGCGAGAACTTCGTCATGCCGCTGAGCCCCGACAGCGATGTGTCTGCGACGAGCGACAAAACGGCGTCGACTAATGTGATCAAGGAAGAAAAGAGGTATGTCACATTTTTCCACAGGTTCTTACTACACAGCGTAGAATTACACGCGTAACTAGTCTGTACTTATTTTGTTGCTGTTGTTACACAAGCTCTGTATATAGCTGTTGTATTCTACAAACGCGCGGATTGGCTATATTCATTCTAAATAAATACTATTTTCTTGAATGTCATTTGAGGTGAGTTTCGTCTAACGTTATTATTCCTTCAAATTGCAGCCGTAATAGGACCAGTCATCAACGATACTCGAGCGATGACTTGTATAAACCACGTCCACTATTTTCCAGCTCTTCTCGTCGAAGCAGACGATCTAATCAAGCATAGCTAGTGCCCCAGGGATTCAGGTTGAATAAGATTTGTACAATTTCCAGACATATTTACTTTGTTTTATTATACAGTAATATGCATTGTATACCAATACATAATAATCCATTATTTACGTTACTATAATTTAACAAAATGTTTTATTTCTTCGTTATTAAACAATGATAATGCCCATCTAATTTAATAATTTAATTATTTGAAATTCGATTAATACGTATTGAACTCTGTAATACTTTTAAACATTTTACTTTGGGCATTTACGTATACCGGAAATTTTAAGCACGAGCTTGAGTACTACTGGGAAACTACAAATCTAAATTACAAATTATGAAAACTTATTTATATTTACGAAGTTTAATAGATACCATTGACTAAAATATTTTAGTCGGCGTTTCAATAAGAACGAGTTTATTAATTAGATTTAATTAGAATGTATTTCTTTGACAAATTTATATTGAGACAACGAAATGTTATCAGTTTCAACTAACTTCTTCCATGTAATATCTAGAAAGTGTTAAAGATTATGATGTTGAATATTATAACAAGATTTGATTACGTAAATCTTGGAGAGTGCGAGTGATAAAAAGTAAGGGACGTACTTCTCTTTTCAAGTATATTCTTCTGCAGACTTTGTTGGGAACGAGTGTCTCCGCTTGTACGTATGTGTATATATACATGTATGCATTTATGTACGAACAAGTGTCCATATAGATAAGCATTGAATGCAATTTCAAAGTTATTGTAAGGTTTGCACAAGAATAATCATTTCATCTATACGATCTCATTGAATTTAATATAATAAAAATGTTTCAGCAATTGATTCTGCTAAAATCTGTAGGAAAAACTCGATTATCCGAGTAAACGATGATCTACATGTGGAACTTTGTAGATCATTTACTAGAATAACACTCGGTAAAAAATTTTTTTATATGAAAAATATGTAAATATACATAAAATATAGATATATATTTATGTATATATTTATATAAAATATATAAGTATATATATAAATACATAAAAATATGTCCGTACATAGGAAAAATGATTGGAAAATATTTAAAAAAATTTTTAATTTTTTTTTTATAAAAAGTAAAATTGTAATTACAATTTTTTTATTTTTTATATATATATATTTTATATATGTACAAATTATGCAACAAAAAATATGAATATAAGTACATAAATATATATATATATAAATTATGTATAAAAACGTCTATATACAGGAAAAATAATTGAAAAATATTTAGAAAAATAACTTGCATAGTTTTTTTATAAAAAATAAAATTAATAATTATTTTATAATTATTTTTTATTTCTTATATACATATATATATTTTGTACAAAAATATATGGACATATTTTATAAATAATTATATATATTTATGTTCTTATATATGAAAAATTTTTTACCGAATTAAGACGCGTATATGCGTAATTTACACGATTATGTATGCAATCTCCCGATTTTAATGACACGAACAACTTTTTATGATACCTAACATACGTAGTTAGGTGTACTACAAATGTATACCAGTATATAGATATATTTATAAGGCTACAATGGTGTATGCTAAACTAACTTTCCGCTTACATTACATACCAGTTCTGTGGAAGAGACTAGTTCTTATATACATTTGTAGCTTTTATACCGCAAGTGATTTAGCGATTAATCTTTTTCAGAAGCATTCTCATACAAGCAACTCCGACATGTGTGTAAACGTGTATGGGTATATTTGTGCGCGCGTATATGTGTGTGTATAGTATATATAAAAATTGAAAGAATGCTACGCGGATTGTCTACAAGATAAAAAAAAAGGATTACCGATAAGATAAAAAAAAAAGTAGTAATAGTAGGCGCCATTCGATAATATAAAATCTAATCTTAAGTTCTTAAGACTCAGTTCGAGCTACATCTCACGTCGTTAGAAAACTGATAACTCTTTTATAATTTTCATATCCCTACATCTTCGTCGTTTCACGTTATTTATGTCATCGTCTTCTAGCGTAATCAGTTTTGTTTTTCGAATAATACTCGGATTATTAAATAATAAAAAATAATTAAAAACAATTGAAATCCAATGTCTTATCATTCTCGCTATTACTTATGGCAATACAAGTGTTTCATGGAAACAGCAGCGGTATAAGGCTGCGATATTACGTCACACATATTTTTAGATCTATAACTTAAAGAAGCGTATTCTTGTTACTGTCGGTCATTCCGCAACATCAGGAAACTTGTCTCTTAAACGCGTACAAAAAAATCGTGTCACTTGATTTCAATAAGAATATCGCGAGGTACAATATTATAAATTTAAATTTCGAGTCTGTTACACAATCGAGAAGTATATGCTATGTTGAAAAAATTTATGAATTTCCCGTCAGTGTTAAAAATCTCTTTCGAATAAAACGAATTTTATATATCTATTCTGTATCCAATAAATAATACAAATCTTACAAATAGGTCTGCTGCAAGGAATTTGCATTCTCAGTAAAATAATAGTTTCCAGAAAATAATTTCTACATTCCATGCGTCTAATCTCTATCCCAAAATTAATCACGGGTACGAGCGATTTGACGAGCTATTGGAACAAATTTACAGGTTTCGCGCAACGTGCGTGCAAGCTCGAGGCTCGTGTGACCAATGTCAATTTTCGGTATCGTTATTGATCTTGGAGACCGTGTCTCCAAGGAGGAAGCGCATGAAGAAGAAGCCTCCGTGCGTTTCCCTCGCGACGGCCCGGCCGGCCGCGTTCGCCGGTTCGATTCAGCCTCTAGCCGTCATGACATGCAATCGACGAGCAAGGTCGTCGCAGCTATGTGCGAAGATTACAGAACGATAGGGCGACGACGGGATTAGATATAATAAAGCGGGCCGCGCGCGGCGTTGCACCGCGCGACTCCGGGGCTTGTTTACTTTGCGCGTCGCGACCGAGTAGCGCGCGTTGCATATTGCATATTGCATATTGCAAACGCCCGCTCGACCTTGCCACTTAAACCGTCTCCTCGCTCCGGCGGGTTTAGAAACGCGCGATAATGCCGCTAAACGCGGCACGCAAGCATGCGTGCGTGTGCCGATTTTTGCTTTTTTGTTTTATACGTATTTATTTACTGAAATCGAGTACACTTGAGAGAGGAAAAGACAAAAGGAGAGAGAGAGATATTTCGCGGCGACCAGTCGATCTCGCTTCGCGAAAACGCGTTTCCATAAATACGTTCGTCTTTACCAATATAGATCAATTTTAATTTCAATTTAATTTAATTTTCTACAATTCTAAAAGAGTTAGAAGGAGATGAAGAGTAAATTAAAGCGTATTGTAGATTAAAATTAATCTATAATAATGGGAGAAATTAATGAGGCCATATAGACCAGCTGCAGGCGTAGCTGGCTCTCGACGTTGCGGTTTATCGCTCTCGCACGTCGCTATATTTATGATCTATTATTGCAACGCATTTGCATAACACTAATCATTGTCTCCGTCATGTTTCGAACAATAAATGAGGAAAAGCGCGTTATATATCATTCGTTGCACGCGCGCATCGACGCAATAAAATGTTCGCTAGGCAAGGTTGGAAATCTAATCGATATATATATTACAACGCAGACGTCTATATAAAATAATTAAAAATGCGTCATCAGCGATCAGCGAGTCCCCGAGATCTGATAGACGTATCTAGCTGATAATAACGATTGAATAATACGATCAATTTCATAATTCATATTGTTATCTGTTCAATTGAAGATAAAATAGAAGAAAGTTTCGCTTGGGTTCTCGATTGAAACGAGCTCACAACTCGGAGCGTATACTTTCACGATATATCTGCGGATTTAGTCGCCAAGACAATTCATTGCATTTCAATAATTTTTTATACCCATTTTTTTCCCTTCAAGAAGTATATATTAATCTTTGACAAAAATTCTATTTAATACTGGAATTTATCTATTTTGAATTTCAATAAGAGAATCTAGAAGTAATTATAATAAATTTATACTCGGAAATTATGTTTTTTTTATTAAAATAAATGAAATCTTAAAATAAATAAGTATAAACGACTAAATAAATAAGTGAAATTTCTGATAACGTGCTCGTTTCCAGTTTGTCAAGAATAAACCTCGCTACATATGTATATATAGGTGCTATATAAAATCGGTTTGGATTTTTTTTGCCGGAAGCCGGTCCTAAGCGGCGTCTACATTGGAGAAAGAGAAAGAGAAGGGTAAGAAAAAGAAAGAGAGGAAAAAAAGTTGCGGTGCCGGCATTTACGTCAGCCGTTAAAATATATTTTACGTAAGCGGCGAGAGTGCATTTCCTGTGGCGCAACGTGGCGCAAGTTGATCCTTTCTCGCTCGCTCCTCCGCTGTAGCCGAATTTCATTCCCTTTTTCGATGGTCAAACGCGATAACCGACGCCGCGCGGTAGCTTGCCCCCTTTTTGCGTAACAGACGAGACGAGAGAATCTCGATTTCAAAAGCCACGAGGTGCGCTCAGCTGACATGATCAATCTCTCGCTTTTTTTATGTATTCAATATACAGCCGCACACGTGTGTGCGTGAAGGTTGCATAGAATTTTCCTGGAACAGGTTCCGCTTAATAGCTGCTCGCGGATATTTAATTATATATTCTAATTGTTACAATTATGACATTCGATCGATATTAATTTAATTCAATTTTCCTGCGACGCGGAAATAAAAATCACTTTCGCCGCTTGTTTTCCAAAATACATTTTTCGAGGAAAGTCAATCACAAAATAATAAAGAGTCACATTCTTTTCTACGAAACAATCGAGAAAATTGCGCGCGCGCGCGGGAGAGAGAGAGAGAGAGAGAGAGACTTATTCACGTGACGCGCTAACTGACGCGATCGCACAAATTGCCGGAAATCGATTGAAAGATCCTTCGGCCGCGGTTTGACGATAATTCGACGAGTAACTTATTTGCACGCGGCGAAGATGAATTTCAGCGAGTCACCGGTGGAGAAAGTGCACAGCCCGAAACGAATTAACGCAGCAAATTCCGCGGCGGGACGTATATATATGTATATACGCGAGACGTCGCGGCGCAGATGCGTCGAAATCGCGTGGGCGCGCGAGCCTGTATAGAAAATCGTGCACCGTGATGCGCATTCACGATGCACTCGTCACCGCTGTCTCTCTCCCCCTTCCTCCCTCCCTCTCATCCGGAAAAATTGTCGTCGTTATCGTCGGCATCGCGTAAGAATGTGCACGCTCACTCTCCAGTATATTCCATCCGCTTAAACGCCCGCCGCCGTCCGCAGCTCCCGCGGCGACGCGGCAGCCGGAACGGAGGAGCGGAGTTTCGAAGCGCGGCGCGCGGAGTGCGCGGACTGGCACGCACGGACCACGTGGGTCGCCGCACGACGCATGCGCGGCACGTGCGCCCGGACCTAACCTCGCCGAATCTCGCCGTGTGCCGTTCTCGCGGCGCCCGCGATCGGACGGCGAGATCGGCGTCGGATGCCACCACTACGCGCCTCGTATCTCGGCCGAATTCGCGGCTCGATCTCGCGCAACGAATCCCGGGACGATCGAACGTAGCGATCGGACCGCGCGCTCGAGCAGGGGAGGAAGGGGACACCGCTGGTATCCCCGTCCCCCGGTGCGCGCGGAGGGTCGCGGGGGCAGGAAACGGGTAGGCAAGTCGCGGAGCCTTCTCGGCTCCCCCGTATGCTCCGCCAGCACCATTAAGAGACGATCGACGCACGCGGTCACATGTCGACGCGCATGTAACGTGCACGCCCGCTGCCCCGCCGCGCGCGCGTTCGTTCCGTCCGTCCGGTGTGCAGTTTTGTTTTCGCGACGGTGTTACCATCGCGGGGCACCCCGAGCACCACCGCGTTGACATCCCCCGTGGCGTGGCGATATTATTATTATTATTATATTCGAGTGTCGAGCGTGAACATCGATTCGCAAGCAAGCGCGATCGGCCAGCACGCGAGGGACAGAGACGGACGTGGAAAGAGAGAGAAAGAGAGAGAGAGAGAAAGTGTGAGGGCGAGAGAGACAGAAGTGACAGTGGGAAGAAGAAAAAGAGAGCGCGATAGGATAGATCGCACGACACCGGACACCGTGGCGGCGGAGCTGAGGCGCACTCACGGGCGCACCAAGGAGCGAGCACCACGGGCACCTCTCCGCCGCGATCATGAGCGTGGACGACTACGAGAGCCTGCCGACCAACTCCGTGGCCGTGCACATGACGGCCGGTGCCGTCGCCGGGATCATGGAGCATTGCGTCATGTATCCGTTTGACAGTGTCAAGGTAGTCGTCGTCGTCGTCGTCGTTGCCGTCGTCATCGTCGTCATCGTCGGTGGTCACGCGCGCGCGCGCGCGCGCGGCCACGTACCCCACGTTACCATCACCCTCCCACTGGGAGGTCCTTTTACATAACCTCCTCGCCGCCGGCGCGATGGCTGGCTGGCTGGCTGGCTGGCTGGTGACGCGTTCCCGGTCGAGGCGTCCGCGCGACGCGAGCACGACGGAGCCCCGGCCGGGAATTCCCCGTCCGCGCGAGCAGTCCAAGGGAAAAGCCACCATCTGGCAACTGGTGTCTTCCGCAGATCCGGACTCTCGGCGCGGCGTTTTATCCTCCATGCCTTCCCAGAAATGCCTCCTACCGCCTGGCGAATTTATCTCTTGGCTTGATTTATCTCTCTGGCTTGCAAATAGGCGCGCAAATAAGCTGCAGCGTTTGTGGGATGAGGGATCATTGTTTGCTGAAATATAATAACGCTGCCGCTTCGTCGAGCGCCACACTTGACGAGCTGTCTCCCTCTTTCTCTACTTCGGACGAAGGAAACGCTCAATTATATAGAATGACAAAGTTAAAGATAATAGATAGTTTAATGGACTTGTGTATACGTGTACAATACACGTGTCTTTCATACATGTGGACGTTTGTAGTTGCACTGAAACTCATGCAACTTGATTACTATAAAGTCACGTGATGACTTACAGAATTTAATATCATTTTACAATTTGCATAATTGAGAAGTGGACAATTTTCTTTTCCCTTTTTTGCATTCTGGAATTTACGTAGTAAAATAAGTTTATAATGTATGTGGCATTAACGTACATTCATTAACATGTGTGTCAGCGCTTTCAGCCTTTTTCCCCACATACATGTACTTAAAGATGTTAATATTTTTAATTTGTTGTGTATGTTGTATCTGCATACCTACGTATTTTTTTTAAATACCATTACACGTATATTGCAACGTAAGTCTATACTGCAGAAAATTTTACTTCCATTATACGTTTCTATTTTATATATATTTACAACCAAAAAAGACATTAAGCATTGTTGGGACTGCAGCTGATAAAAGCACCGTGCCGAATATTCGTTGAATCGGTTTGTATTTACGCGTATTGACGGCATAATCGTGTTGTCGTACAGTATCATGACAGTGTACATCATGATTGAGAGAAAATAGTTACTTTGTATCAAGTGACAGACACAAGGGGATGAGTTATTGTGCATTGCAAATGATGTATTATACTAGTTCTCACTCCTAATCCAAGTGTTTACTATTCATTATGTAACTCAGTTCGTCGGCAGCAAGTTCTATTTCTGGTCTCCTTTTCAGACCTACGCTATCTATACTATACACTATACTTTCCTGTCTAATATGCCAAATCCTGATTTCGTGCATTCGTGTCAAATGGGCATCATACAGACGTGCTATTATTCTAATTTAATGCAAAGCAAATTGACATCTGAAAATCATCAATTTCAACAAGTCCGATACTCTCGCGCTTATGAATAATGCAACCCAAGTTGATAGCCACTGTTCTCATTATCAGCAAGTCATCCTATTTTAAAGTACCTTTACAATGAACGATGATTTCATAAGAATAGCGTTGCACAACGTGGCGCAGAAAACGTAGAGGCAAAAAATATCGCTATGTAAGAGTATGCATTGCAAAAATATGTGTAAGCGGAATTGAGTTAGCTTATCGTTGTTTCTGTAACTAATACTAATCCATCTCATCTTTCGTGTGCTTAGACAAGAATGCAGGCATTGACTCCTGGCCCGGGAGGAGGGGGAGGAGTGGGAGAGGTACTGTACAGAATGATACGACAAGAAGGTGTATTAAGGCCAATTAGGGGTGTCAGCGCGGTGGTCGCCGGTGCCGGTCCTGCACACGCTCTATACTTTTCTTGCTACGAATGTCTCAAGGAAAAGTTCAAGAGCTCGAGATCTCAGTTCAATCATCTTGTCTACGGAGCGGCTGGTTGCGTAGCAACAATTCTGCACGACGGTGTCATGAACCCGGCGGAAGGTTGGATATAGAACAGAAAATTAATCTGATACGTGATACGTGATATTTGATTAGGGAGTCATTGATAATGTATATCACTGTAAATACAGAGATAATCTTACCATCTACGGTGCTTCGGTTCAGCACTGCCGTTCAATTGATGAAGATATACAGACTTTTATCTAATCATTAAGTTTGAATATTATCAGTCTCTCTTGCCATTTTGTATATCTAATAAAAGATATAGAAATTATTATCTTTACGATAGATCTCGAAAGATTAGTCTTAGATTAAACGGTAGAAATTCACATGTAATATTATCTTGTTACAGTGGTTAAACAACGATTGCAGATGTACAATTCCCCTTATAGGAATGTATTGAATTGTATACAGCACGTGTACCAGAAAGAAGGGATATTTGCATTCTACAGGAGTTACACGACTCAATTGGCTATGAATGTGCCTTTTCAGAGTATTCATTTTATCTCTTATGAATTCGTGCAATCCATTACAAATCCGGAGCACGTTTACAATCCAATAGCACATATCGGATCGGGTGAGTCTTTTTAATTATCGTTAATATCGATTTTCTGCCGCGCGTTTCCGATGTTGTTGAAAAAGCTTTTAGCGTCACGTTGCAAGAACTATGTAAAAATAATCGATTTGATTTATTAATGTTTATTCTGAAGTGTTCAATCTTGAGCAAAGTTAACGTGCATTCTGATGTGCGCGAAGAAGTATAATCGATTAAAATTTTAATCGTCTGTTTTGTGTAATCAGGTGCAGCAGCAGGTGCAATCGCGGCCGCTGCGACGACTCCTCTGGACGTATGCAAGACAGTGCTGAACACACAGCAGGACGGCGTGCACGCTCAAGGCATGATAGACGCGTTTAAGCAGGTCTACAGGTTCGGCGGGATACAGGGATACTTTCGTGGATTACGCGCACGTGTCTTATTCCAAGCGCCAGCCACCGCGATCTGTTGGGTGATGTAAGTCGACTTTGTATATCTGCCGTTTTTTTGTAATTATGTAATACACATCGTTTCTCTCTCTCTCTCTCTCTTCACGCCGCGTCGCGTAACACGTTTCTGATTTGCACGATAGATACGAATCATTCAAGTATGTATTACGGGGCAAGCAAGATGATGAATGTAACGACACCGAAGCCGACAACGGTATGACCGGAATCAACCAGAATCCGACGCTCGCATCAAGATCCAACAGCTTTCAAGGTGCAGGTCTGTACTTTAACAACCACGCCTCGACGCCCGTGTTACTCAAAGTGACCACGAGTTAGGCATGTAAAAAATTCGCACTCTCAATTGTCCATTGCGAGAAAGAAAGAGAGAACTGTTTCGTTATTCGAGAGTTGTTTATGGAAGTAGCGGTATATTTTTTTCCTTAAAAGTGTCTCTCGACACAATGAATCGTTTCGTTGATTCATCTATTATTTGGCAGCATTTTTACATGCGTATATTATGTATCGCGAAGAAACGAAAATTGCAAAAAAGGAAAGAAAGACAATAGCAAGCAAAGGTACGGGACCTGGATTTATTGACTATCGGTATACGAACTTCCTCGATTATTATTAACACAGAACTGCGTCAGATAGTAGTAGGCGCTAATAAAATATCACCTTCCTTTTTTTTATTTCTTGATTTCTGATTATCAAACGCGGGTGATTGATTTTAAGAGGCGTTATTTCTCTAAGCTTCATATGTTATCATCGTACCTCACGCTTTCAATAAATTTTCCGTCATGTACGCGAAATCAAGTATGGAAGTAACGTACTGTTATTTTAGAATAATTGCAAAATGACTTTATTAATTGGCAATATTAAATTTGGAGTCGTGAAATAATCATTAATCCTGGTACACCGCTGGATGCCATCCAATGTGTACAATTGAAATAGAATGCTATTATCTATTGTACTGTTCATATGGAGTATTAATGGATATTCAGAGATGGACAGCAAAATGTCAATTTGATATATATCAGCTTGAATGTAAAGAATCTGTATTATTTGTCTTCTACTGTAATTTGCATACAAATTTGTATATATCTAGCTTACATAAATTAGAATATTTTACTAATCTGTTCGATATTGACATCTAGTTGATTGCTAATGGTAATGTTTACTCCTTAAAGGATGCCAAGCAAATTTGTACTGTACAGATGGATTCATGCTTGTGTAAAAATAGATAAATTAAATACTGAAAATTGACAAGGAATATTAAGCTAATATTTTTTTTAGCATTCTCCAATGTAAAAAACGGTTCTTAGGAAAGAAGGAAGGAAAGATATGCTCCAATTGAATAGTGAAAATAGATTACGCACATAGCGCAATTGCAGCCCACTCCAACATTGTACCATTAAGTAAGTTTAAGAAAACAGTGGGATGCATGCAGGAATTTCATCGATAATAAACTACACTTTAGAGCATAATTAAGCGCGCATAATTAATGCAGGATCATATCGCGAACAGAAATTTGCAAAATTAGACGACCCATAATTGTTATTAAAGATCATCGATAAAATAAATCGATATTTGACGTTGTTAAAAAAAGTTACGAAAACTACTTAATGAAATTCCGAGATGTAGAATACGATGTTGAATTTCGTGTTTGGATTATAGGTACAACGTGGATCGGAGTGAATTGAATTAATAGGGCATGATTGGCTATCCTGAACTAAGAAAGGAATTACAAATGATGTAAAGTAATTATTTTATAGAAGGCTGTAGATAAAACTATAAAATAATATTACAGATGTACAGTATAAAATAAAAGGAAAACCAGTGTAGAGAAAAAAAAAGTGAAACTATTATTTGTACAAGTACGATTCCTCTTGATTACTCAAGTACAAATGATGAAATGCTCCTTAGTCATTTTGTAATATAAATAAATTATGTATCTAAACCATATACGATATATAACCACAATATTGCTTCCTATGGCTGTGATTACTGGGTCATTTGATGTTGACTTTAAGAGGGAGTAATATCATGTAAAACTCATATTTCACGCCATATTTATTTATTGTTACAATTTTTAATACCCTACATCGTTGCTGAATGAATCGTTTTGATGTTGTTGGAGAGAGGGGGAAAAAAGGCACAGTATTCATATGTAAAGATATATGTAAAAGGAGAGCGACATCTAAAATTTAAAATTAACTTTATAGAAATGTGTATTTAAGTTGTCAAAAATGTTTTCTTACTTTGGAGATTCGCAACTAAGAATTTTCATTCGGAAACACTTGTGCGGGTATGCGCTTGTTACACGCGTGCATATGTTTTGCATGCTAATTTAAGCAATGTAATTGTCGAATTACATTATATTTTATTGAATTTAACAGGACACTTAATCTATTATTTATACTTTTCGTTATAATTTGTTTATCTCTATTTGTTTATCTCTATTTCTATTTAAAGACATCACAAAATTGTCTTTGAACCTCAAAAATAAATACTTATTTCTCAAATGTGTTACAAGATGTAATACTGTTCACCTATCTCTTTTTTTAATTGATTTAAATTTTTTATTACGCAAATTATTCGTGGCCACGTTATTATTATATATGATCGACTTGAATTATTCTACGGTTTCTCTTTATAAGTAAGCGTTTACTTTTTGGAAAGACAAGTTGTATATAGTCGATATATATATATATGCTCCCACTGGTATTATAAAAAAATATTATGTAGGGTACATATTAATAAGTACATATTGAGTTTGTGTAACACAGTGAAACGCATTATACATAATAATGATGTAAATAAATCATTCTACAAAATATGATATACTTTCATGTTTGATTTGTTCCATTATTTCCTCGTTTTTCTACAAGTGTGTGAAGAATGATAAAAACATTTGAGAATAGAGTTACATTTTGAAATCTTACTTCAGAGTTATTTTCCTTAAAACACTTTTTTGATGGCTATGTAAATTATTCGTAATAATAATCATCTATTTTACTTAAATTGCGAGAGCAATAGAAATATGGCAAAAATTGCCGAAGTGTGTGACGCTCGTTGCCTATTATTTCGCAATGAAAGAATAAGAACGGAAGACGCGATACGGATGAAGTGGTTTTTAGAAAATCAACAACGACTGATAGATCAGTTGAAAGAGCCGAAATTCACGAAACGCGCCAGGGAAATAATTGCGGAGTCTAAGAGACGACAGGCGGCACGCGTCGTTAGACCCGTCGTGCGTAATTTCAATCTGTTTGATTCGCAATGTTCTCTGTTAAATTTCGTACGCACGTAGGTACCACGGAAGCCGTTACCGATTTGGAGGCCACTTAAATCCGACGGTTCTATCAATATAGATATCATGAAGCCGATTGAGCCTGATGTAAGAGCCATACTTTATGAGAAAGGAATCCCGACTTTCATTACCACTCGTAATTATTTAACTAAAAGGTAGCGCAAGTCAAACACGGCGCACAAATCTCGGTTCGAGGACTTAATTAACTGATCTAAAATACATTTTGGAATTTTTTTTTTTAGATATGAAGAACCCCCGGAGAAGCGTTTCTATTTTCCCGAATGTGTGAATTGGATATACAGTTGGCGTCTTGGCGACTATCCTCCGGTTCCATTTAGCGAAGTAGGCCTGAGATCCGTGATGCAAGCACAATTTTATCAGCGTAAGGCGTTGATTCTGGAACGTGATCCAGAATGGTTTCGCGGTTGTCAAAAGAAGAACGCGAGGAATTTCGATGAACCGTTGACATAATAATTAGTAACACTTTTATACAGAGAAATATAAATACGTCTATATCGCTACAGTATGAATATCGGTATTTCGATATTATATTCTGTAAATAGTTTATTACATGTTTTGATATAATTACAATTTTTTAAATAAATTGATACGTGCGATTAATTGACGATTATTTATTCCGTTCAAATGATTTTGTAATTCATACAGAAATAAATACAGAATTCATGCATGAATTCCGCGATGTCTCTTTAAAAAGAAATTATTCTCTCTTCAAAATTAGAATTATATTTGCAACAAATGTTTATTTTTGCATAATAACAATATTTCTGTTAAAATAATACATAAATTACATGTTAATTAATGTAATTTGTACAAAATGTTTTTTTAATCCCCATTAGATAATACCATTCATAAATATTATTTGAGTTAGTAGATTGTAAATTATGAGTTATATTAATCGAGAAAATCTGGCCATAGCGTGGGTCAGAAGATCTATTAACCATTTGTAGTTATCGATTAACTTTCTTCTTCATATTCTCTTCAATCTTCGCAACTATGCTTTTCCATTTTGCGGGATCATTCTTTTGGTACCACTCAACAACCGCTTTTAACATTTCTTTTTGCTTTTCAGTACATTTCTTACATTTTGTTTGGTAAGCTTCACTGAACATACCTGAAACCAAGAAAGAGAATATTCTTTTATATTTATTTATTCTTTAGTAATCGACATCGCTGATTAATAAATGCACAGAATCTAATTACGCTAGAGAATTAAAGCACAAAATTAATATAGTTAAAAAGTTTGAAAATATGATTCTACATAAAAAGAAAAAATTGATTTCGTTCCGTAGACTTATCTCTGAGAAACTATCATCCATTCAAAAATTAGCGTAAATCGGTAAATACATCTAGTTATCGAGTGTATTTATCTTCCATACAGTTTTCTATTTCTGCTGCGTTATTTTTGTATAAGAAATTAATTTAGAAGTTAGTTTGTTTTATCAAATATTCGATGTATGTAATTATTTTAATTTCCACAAAATTCTTTTCAATTCTTAAAAATTATATATGTATATTTATAATTAAGCAAAAACTTGAAATTTTTCTAAAATAAAATTTAACAGTAAATAGATTCATATGTTGTCATTTATTTTCTCTGCTGATGCTTAGATGGTCAAAAGAATCTCTTATTCGATGTTGTAAATGATTTGTCAAAAAGCTCTGTTATTCGATATTGTAAAGTAAATAATTTGAAAACTATAAATACCTTGACGTTACCGTTAAAGAAAAATCGATTTCGCGATTGACCAAAGAAATCATCACAAAAGAAAAAAGAAATAATTCGGTAATAATATACCTGTTAAGTATTTCTGTTCTGGTGTTTCGCATGGTATTATTTCCATAAAACATTTGTTATATTTGTCTCGCAGTTCGTCGTTTTGGAGCATAGCTTGAATATCGACGTTATCATATTGAGCAGAATACATCTCTTCTGCAAGAACGCACATCAGTACGCTCATAGCAATGATCAACGCGATACGATTTAGTCGAGCCATTGGTTTCACAGTTCCGGTACTTGATACACTATAGATAGTCAATGAATTGTGCATTTCATTTTATATAGATCTTATTTGATAAAAAAAAATATTGCGTGACGTAAGCATAGAAATTATATACAAAAAAGGCAAAGATATAAACAGGGAAAAAACTTGCCATGTACGTTAGAAAATATTAAAAATACAAATCATGTGTTGTAAGATGTACATTAAACTTGTAAAATACAACGTATCAAATATGCAAATATTATGTATGTAAATTTTAAAAAACCGAGTCTAAAATTATTTGCTCACAAAAATACATCAATTTTATTCACTATAATTGCGTGCATATATATTAATTGATACCTTAACATTTTCAAAATCTAAGATTGCTATGTACACTTTGAATCAAATTTATCGTGTTTAAATTATTCATGTATTAAAGAAGTAGTTAATAATTTCAAAAACGTGTTCAATTAAGATATATTAACAAAAATTTTGTACGCATATGCGGTGCGTCATTACTTGCGTCAATAAATTTTAAATAAGTAATAAAATAAATCGTTTATAAAATTATATGTTTGCTGCTTGCCTTTTTTTGAAGTAACGAGTATGCAGGATATATAATAATATTTATTATATCGATTAGTTAAAAAAGAGTTCTGTTTTACATCCATGATTATTAAAGTCATTATTTTTTTTAAATCTTTCCATAATATTTTCTGAGAATAAATGAGGCATAAATGACGCAAATATTTGCAAAACAAACTCTCATAACTCTCGTTCTCTCATCACTGTCTGACATCAGAAAATAAGAAACTTGTCCTTTTGTATTTTTAACGCACAGTTTTTCTTTTTCATTTACATAAGTGAACTAATTTCTTTTTATGTATTTATGTAAAATGCAGATTAATGAAAATATGGCAGAAATTCGTTTCTTATGGATTAATAGGTGGATATTTTGATCAGTTATAATTCACTCTATTTTCTATTCTAGAAATATAAGGCAAATGTAGATAGAATTATGTACCTATATTTATTTATTAATGAAAAATAACTGAAAAGGGAATTTTTGACACATTTCAGCAAATCTGTATCAGTATTTATTCATTCTGATAGTCTTATTTTATCTGTTACAATGTATAATCTTTTATTCAAATAGATATTTTTTCTTGTTCTTAATTTACTTATCGCTTCTTTTCTTGCTTGCAGTCCTCTTTATGTGTGCTATTTACAGAAAGTAGATCTGACGGCAATAAAAAGTCAGCATGCTCTGGTAAAGCATTAAACGCAAAATTTATAAATTTTTGAAATTCCTTAGTAAGAGCATCGATTTTTTCTTGAAGTACTTTATTCCTATTGCGATAGTTTGTATTCTTTTTCTTCATTGTATTTATAGATTGTTCTTGTTTAGCAATAAATTCTTGCAAGGACTCTATTTTTTCCTGTATATTTTAAATACGTGTAATTTTTTAATTTTTTTATAAAGAATAAATTTACATAAATACAGATATTTTCAAGTCCCATTCGAAAATAGATGTATATATTAATTACCTCAAAATGTTTATGCATCGTTTGCAACTGCGAATTGCTGCGTAATCTTTCCATGCAAAAAGTGAAAATAATATTCATAGCATTCTGGACGTAGAGTTCACGACGTTGGATATGCAACTCTTCTATCTTCTCCCTCTCAATTTCCCTGATTCTCGCGTCCAATTCGAGATGCTGTTTCCTTTGCAGATGAAAGTCAAATTTAATATATTTTATATATTAGTGACGTTTCGAGAACCTTTTCGAAACTTTTGATATTTATACACATTTTCTCTGAATACCTTATGATCTTATTAAAATCAGCAATTGTCTTTTCTCTCTCTGCGCGACGAATTTGCTCGAACTCATTACAGAGAGACGTAACGACCCAGTTCACCTGAGGCCGTATTTTTCTCAGCACATCGTGCGTCGTATCAATTCGCGCTTTTACAACGGCTTTTTGCAGTTCCTTATCGCGTATCGCGCTCGTGTCCGCCAACTCGATCTGTTGCAGTTTTAAATGAAGTTTCGCTCATTGCGCCAAGTTACGTATACGCATGTCCACCTGCAATTTCTCCTTTAACTCTTCTTGAGCAGACTTGAAAAATTCCTCGTATCTGGCATGAAGCTCCTCCGCGTTGCGTCCGATGGTAAATCTCTTTTCAGCTTCGAGCTTACGACATTCATCTGCAAATTCGTCCCTCAGTCTCTTCTGCGTCGTCGCTTCGACCTCCATTTGAAACTTCTTCATCTCCTCTTCGCCCAGTGCTGAAAAAAATGAAAACAATATTCATTGCGTTCTGTATGTAGAGTTCACAATGTTGGACATGCAACTCTTCTATTTTCTTCCTCTCAATTTCCCTGATTCTTGCGCCCAATTCGAGATGCCGTTTAGAACATATCAAGAATTTACGAGACAAGAATTTAGAGCATAACAAGAATTACTTACAGATTTATTTACATAACACTTTAGAGCATAACAAGAATTTACAATATATCGACAAGCATAAATATGTGTAAAATACTAAAATCACTTTTGATGTTTAATCCGATGCAAAGATCCATTGAATATTACCTAGAATGTCGCTATGTAGATCCGTTCTGACAATTTCATGCTTTCCCGCCCACGATCCCGTCGCGTCCGCCTTCGATTGACTGTTCCGCGAGGCGCAACACGAGACGCAACATGATTCCCGTGACAATTTGGCGGGTATCGAATCCAACAGCTTCACGGCCTCCGGATGGCTGTAGTCGAGGAGAACCTGCGCCAGCGAAGTGCCGAGACGCAGCTGAATCTCCGACCTCGTCGGACTCTCGTCTCGCGTAGGGCATTCCAACTTGCGAAATTTACGGGATGAGGTACAAGCTGCGTGAACATATTTGCGGAAATGAGTAGATCCTTGCGCGGTTTCCCCGTGAACGACGTTCTTCTTAAGATCAAGAATGTATACACTCGTGCGTTATCTTAACGCAGCGTCGCTTACACATTGCGTTATCGATAGGAACGGCGCGTCATTTCCTTCTATCGCTTATTCGACGGGGAATTTAACCCTTCGTTCTCCGTGCAGAGCGTCCCGCGCGTCATTCCTTAACGTAAAGAGACAAATGAAGCTGACAAAAGTGACAGACACAAATACTTAATCAACCTTTTGTTCTACTGATAGGTTATAATCGTTTACTCACAAACCTTTCGAAAGAAAAACGCCAGCAACTTGCCGGCAGATTCAAGCCAGACACATTGCGGGCAGATTATTAATGTTTGACGTCAACTACATCCCGGGATAAATCGGGACCGTTTATACTTCATTTAATCACAGCTACATCTAATTCCATTTTCTATTTCTGCGTTTGTGATATCCATATTGAAACTTTCGCGCTCTCGCAGGCACGAGCCGCTCTCAGGATCCTCTCTCAGGCCTTGTCCAGTCAGTCCAGTGTGTGAAAACCAGGGGGCGCGATCTCTTCGATTTCGATCCCACGTGTCTGACGTCTGGTGTGCTGTGTGCGCACTGCGTGCGGGGATGTGCGTTGCGAGTTGTGTACTTGCGTATTCCAGTGTTACTTCATATAACTCCGCGTTTCCCTCGATTTCAGTGTGATGATTTGATAACGAAACCTTCCACGATCGAAAAATGATACCTATAAAGTGTGCCATGACGGAACAGCTGATGCGAAGAGGCGCCTTGTCGGCGGTGACATTAGTACGCAGGTATACATACATACATACATTTGTATATATATTTTAGAATCATGTATTGTTAGAGATACATTTTTTGATCGTATCTCTTCTTTATCTTCTTTTATCTCTTCGATGAATTGCATAACGCTACGTCGAGCGACATTAACCTTTAAACCACCGCATCCCAAAAAATTACACTAACCACAATGTCGGTCTGACAAATCGCTATTATGCTCTCGCTAATTTTATAAGTTATGTATGTATAATAAAAATGTATGTTTTCTGAATATTTGTGATGGGGAAAAAGAAAACTATGTTTTAATGTGAGAGTTAACAAAAAAATCTCATATACAATAGAAATAAAATATATTTAAAGGGTGACAAATAAGAAAATTGTTGACAATAGTAACGTTTTAATAGCAGTCTGTGAGACCGTGGTTTAAAGGTTCTTCTTCTTCTTCTTCTTATAATTAGGCTTCAGCTCCTACGAGGAGCTATACAGCCTGATACAAATTTGATAATTGCGTATAAAACAGAAGTAGAGAAGTATTAATCGGATGATGCAATACTGATCAGAGTACTGAGCCATAGACGTCCACCTTAGTCCGTGGCTCACAACGGAATCATGGTTTAAAGGTTAAAACTGTCGCTACTACGACATACCTTCTATCTCATTTCGTCTTTTGTTGCTAGATCGCCAGTTCTTGGCACGAGTTACGTCCAGCTGTGCAGAGGCAAGAAAAGCGACAGCAACAGCAATACAAATATGCCGCAATCGCTGTTCCGTCCTGTGCCCGTCAAACCGAATCCGGATGACATAAACGTCGGTGCCGAAATAGCTGGGTCCTCATTGAAGAAGACGGACCTACTGAGGATACTGAATTCCTTCGCGCAGAGGACGGAGATCAAGAAACTGGCTCAACAATATGGATTGGATGGTGCGTAGGCAATAATCGAATATATAAATGTGATTTCTAATTGTGGCATTGATTTCAGACACCCTCCTGGCACAGGCTTTCACCAACTTCAAACAGTACTGCTTAGGAACGGAATCATTACCCGTGGACCTTTACGTAGTCCTGACCGATATCATGCATGGTGCCGGACACGTCACCGATATTTTTCCGTACTTCATAAAACACACCAAGCAAATATTCCCGCACATCGATTGCTTGGACGATCTCAAAAAGATTAGTGATCTACGAAGTCCCGCTACCTGGTAAGAAAATGTAAATTTACATAATGTTAAAGATTATCAAGGTTTTTACAAGGAAAAAATTTTTCTTGATGTGTTAAAATACACATATATAAAAATAACAATGATATAGTAATTGTACTAATATATTAATAAATAAGAAATAAAGAGTTAAAGTATGACATTTAATGCTCCAAGTAAAAATAACTTTAAATTACAATAATGACAACGAACGTTTCAATCTACATTGGGTTCTTAATGTTAGTACATTTTTTTAACATTGAAAATGACCTGATGTGGGTTGAAACGTTTGTTGTCATTATTGTAATTTAAAGTTATTTTTACTTGGAGCATTAAATATCGTATCCTTTATTTCTTATTTATTAATATATAAATTATAAAAATTGTTCTTAATGTATTAGAATACACACATATATATTAAAAGAACAATGATACAGTAATTATATTAATATATTAATATAATTACTGTATCATTGTTCTTTTAATATATATGTGTGTATTCTAATACATTAAGAACAATTTTTACAAAGTGATAAAATTTGGCTGTTGTTTAGGTATCCTATGGCAAGGGCAAAAAATAGAAAAATAATTTTTCACGCTGGACCAACGAACAGCGGGAAGACTTACCATGCTCTAGAAAGATTTATTAACGCAAAAAGTGGAGTGTATTGTGCACCGCTGAAGTTATTGGTCGCAGAAGTATTTCATAAATGCAACGAAAGGGTTGATATCATATATATATTTTTTTAGTTACATTCACCAAAAATAAAATAACAAACATAAAGATGTAACAATGTATTTAACATAATTTTAGGGAACACCGTGTGATTTAGTAACTGGAGAAGAACGGAGGTATGCCAAGGATAATAATGATGCAGCGGATCATGTATCGTGTTCCGTAGAAATGGTGAATCTACAAAATCATTGTGAGTACATCTTTAATATTTACATCGCTGAGAAAAGTGCTAATACGATGATAATCTATTGCAGATGAAGTAGCGATAATTGATGAAATTCAACTAATGCGTGATCTTCATAGAGGCTGGGCGTGGACGAGGGCCCTTCTAGGAATTCCCGCGGATGAGATACATTTGTGTGGTGAAGCTGCTGCTATAGAATTGGTACGCCTTTCGTCTTTATATATTGTACAATTGTGTGCCGACAGATATCCGCTAATCAAGAGCTACATGTACCATGCAGGTAAACTCTATATGCGTTTCAACGGGCGAAACCGTGGAAGTTCGCAGGTACAAGCGATTGACGGAGCTGGAGATAGAAGACCGAGCTGTCGATAGTTTGAATAACATTATGCCGGGGGACTGCATAGTTTGCTTTAACAAAAACGACATATACACCGTGTCGCGTTCCCTCGAGAGCAGGGGAAAAGAGGTGGCTGTAATATACGGCGGCTTACCACCCGGTACCAAGCTGGCGCAAGCCGCGAAATTTAATGATCCGAACAATTCCTGTAAAATCTTAGTAGCGACCAATGCCATTGGAATGGGTTTGAATCTGTGAGTTTTGCGCGTGTTAAATTTGATGTATACGTTTATATTTTGAAGTTTTCATGTAGCACAGATGCGCATCGTTGAGAGTGATTTGTCTTTTAAATGTATTGTTACAGGCACATTCGAAGAATTATATTTTATTCGTTGATTCAGCCGATGTTTAATGAAAAGGGCGAAAAAGAAATGGACGTTATATCTGTGTCAGCGGCTCTGCAAATAGCAGGTCGTGCTGGACGTTACGGCACAGCTTGGGATACGGTAAGCATAATCTAGTTTAATTCTATTAACATCACGAAAGAAGTCAAATATATAGAGAAAAATGTGAAGTACTAAAATATGCTTTTACATTACAGGGCTACGTGACGACGTTTAAACGGGAGGATTTGCCGACTTTGAAAAATTTATTGAGTCAAACGCCGGAGACAATAATACAAGCCGGCCTCCATCCAACGGCGGATCAAATTGAGACGTACGCTTATCATTTGCCAAACTCGTCGTTGTCGAATCTTATGGTGAGTCCAGGCACGGAAGTAACAATGGAATTAATTTTAATGAATCGTAAATGATGTCGTTTGTGCTTTGTGCATTTCAGGATATCTTTATATCGTTGTGCACGGTTGACGATTCTCTTTACTTTATGTGCAACATAAACGACTTTAAATTCCTAGCCGATATGATACAACATGTTTTATTGCCACTTCGTGCGAGATACGTATTTTGCTGTGCACCAATTAATCGGAAATCGCCATTTGTGTGCTCTATGTTTTTGAAGGCAAGTGTTATATTATATTATATATATATATACATACGCGTGCGCGCGCGCGCGCGCGCGCGTGTGTGTGTGTGTGTGTGTGTGTTTTATGTATGTTAAATATAGATGGATTTGAATTTAGACACAGAGAGCAGATGCGCAGCTCTCGCGTTATGATCATCACGAATATATAATATACATATATATGTATATCGATTTTTAAAGTTAACTATTACGAAAAAAAGCTCCCAGATGTTAATATAAAATCGACTTTGTTTTCACAATGTTCAACATTTTAATTTTTATCCTTGCACTTTTTGTGGCTTAAATATACATTTTCTTTTGCAGTTTGCACGTCAATACAGTAAAAACGAACCGATAACGTTCAATTGGTTATGCCAACACATCGGATGGCCCTTTCAAATGCCTAGAACTATCCTTGATCTCGCTCACTTGGAAGGCGTTTTTGATGTATTAGATCTTTATTTATGGCTAAGGTATATAATGAGAATTTTTTTTACCTTAATTATGTATCATTGGTTTTCTTTGCGTTCTCATATTCATTATTCTGTGTAGTTATCGCTTCATGGACCTGTTCCCGGATGGTCAAATAATCCGTGACATGCAAAAGGAACTTGATGCCCTGATCCAGGAAGGAATAGTTAAATTAACGACTTTGTTGGTGAATTCTGATGCAGGTAAGCGTGATTCTTTTGAAACGCATATAATATTCACGCTGTAATTTATAGTTAATATACGCATAGAAATATACGTGTGTGGATGTTTATATGCGTGAAATTTTGTCTTATATTTTATCAAGATTATTTTTTATAGTATTAGTCGTGATATGTAATGATCAAATCTTTTTTTTATTATTTAGGCGGAGAAGCCGATAGTTTTGAATTACAGACGCAAAGGCAAAACTTCTACAGAGGTAATTCCTTACTACATATAAAAAAAGAATTTTACATTCGCGATGATGAATGCTAAACTTATACAAAAAATTTTTATAGATTATAAAGCAACTGGCAGACATAGTAGAGGCAGATTGACTGAAAGATTAATAGCGGAGGGGCTCTTAACACCACAGATGTTACGTGAGCTGCAGTCCGAATGGATTAGGTCAACAAGAAAGAAAAAATAATACAGCTCTGTGAATAGTAGCAAAATATTAAGATTAATTGATTAAAAGAAGTCTTTTCATTGTGATCGACCTAATTGTGAATTTAAAAAAGGCGTAATTAAGTTGATACGATATGAATAATTATGTTAACATCTTTAAGAATCATTAACATTGTAAAAATAGTAGCAATGTTATATGTATATTCAATTTATGTATAAAAAAATCATGTCAAGTATTATTTTAATATTCAACGTACTGTTTAGAATATAGATTCGTTCGTACATATAAATTAAATTTTTTCTTAACAAAAATATATCTCTTTTTTGCTCATTATAAACTGTGCTCTGTAGATTTTACTTTCGAAATTGGCTACACAGATATATTATCGACACACATTTGCAATTGACTTTTTGGATATTAAATAATAGCTGGGTTTTGAATTTTTATTTGTATTACTATCCTCTAAAAAGTAAATTTTTTAAAAATTCATTTTAATATTATAAATTTATAATATAATATCAAGTCAAAGAGAAGCATATTGAGATCTTAAAACTATATGTTCTATATGTAATATATACATATGTAATATGTGTATATAATATATATATGTAATATATGTTCTAAGATTAGATAAAAGGTGCTCGCTCAAGATGGTCGCTCAATGGTGCCAATATACTTTTGTCTATGTGCTCGCGCGCTTTTCCTCTACTTTATTGATAAACGCATAAAAATGATATCAGAGAGGATCCAAGAGCGGACATGCCTTTTGACTGTACGCTAAAACGCGCCCTCGTGCACTAACGCCCTCTGGAGAAGTGGATCCAAATTACATAGCAAAATCAAGATTTCTGCACAATTTGTGGTGCGTGTCCGTACTAAATCCATTTTTCGAGTCTGCTGGAACTTTATACACGAAAAATTACGCATATATATACATTTCATTGAGTACAATTTCCGAAACGCTGCGAAACAGGCGAGAAAGGATCTAACATCATTTTCCGTTTCATTATTTATTTGCAAATAAATTACGTTACAATTAAACATTGAGCGCATGTTGTAAAAAGAGGCCAGTGCCATTATCCGTCAGTTTGTAAAACTAAGTACGAACGTTTTATGTGGCCGCGCAGCGCGCCGAGTGTCGACGCGACCACGTCGGAGTCCCACAAGCAAAAAGCCTCGTGCTACCTAACGTCCCGTTTATATACCGATTCGTGTAGCCAGCGCCGAGCCAATCAGAATGCTTCTGGCAGGGTACTATATAAACTGCGCGTACGCGCCGCTCGCGCGATAGTCCGGCCGCCGGCTCCGCTGAGTTCGTATCAAGTCTACGGAAGCGTCACGTCGTGTCACGTAGGGACAATGTACAGCCTCAGACAGCTCATGCGCTGTAAAAAATAGATGAACATGAATGCATTGGAGGAAATTTATATACGGGTACATGAAATCTATAAATTTATTTTGATTTTTCTATCATTTTATTAGATTACAATTAATTCGCTCGCACGGTCGACCACAACTGTTCGCCGCGTCGCGCGTCGGCGCGGCGCTTGTTTCGTATAAGCTGATCACCGTGTGCGGGACAAATTGCTCCGCTTCATTATCTTAATTACGCATTTATCCATAAGTATGGCGTACGTTAACATCATACAGCGAACATATGGATAAACGCATAACTAAGGTAGTGAAACGGCGTAATTCGTCCCGCGTGCCGACAGCTCACGCGAAACGAGCGTCGCGTCGCGACGCGGGCGACGCGTCGGCGGCGGTATAAGTCTTGATTTTCGACCGAACGAGTATTGCGATTACGCATCCGATCGAATCAGAGTTCTAATTAGATGCAAGATGATCGGATACGTATTTCGCAATACTCGTTCGACCGAAAATCAAAATGTGCAGCGTCGCCGCCCGCCACTGTTGCACCGACGCCGCCGCAGCGCGTACGGTGGCGCTGATGGCGCTATTGGCGTGCGGCGATGCCGACGCTAAGTTGATCGCGCGGATAGACGAATCCGCTTCGATATTTCAGTGGTGGTTCTTTTATAATTTTAGAACTCGATACGAGATAAATCGCATCTTTGGAACGAGAGGCGTCGCGGCTAATATAATTGGTAAGTGGGACTTGCATTTGTTTAACATGTAGCGTCGCCGCGCTGTCGCCGTCGCCACCGCCGCCGACTCGCGTCGCCGCGACGCTTGTTTCGCGTAAGTCGCCCGCGTGCGGGACAAATCGCTTCGCTTCATTATCTTAATTACGCATTTATTCATAAGTATGGCGTACGTTAACGTACAGCGAACATATGGATAAACGCATAACTAAGATAGTGAAGCGGCGTAATTCGTCCCGCGTGCCGTCAGCGAAACAAGCGTCGCGGCGCGGGCGACGCGTCGGCGGCGGTATACGTCTTGATTTTCGGCCGAACGAGTATTGCGATTACGCATCCGATCGAATCAGAGTTCTAATTAGATGCAAGATTGATCGGATACGTATTTCGCAATACTCGTTCGACCGAAAATCAAAATGTGTAGCGTCGGCGTCGCCGCGCGCCACTGTTGCACCGACGCCGCCGCAGCGCGTACGGTGGCGCTGATGGCGCTATTGGCGTGCGACGACGCTAAGTTCATCGCGCGGATAGACGAAACCGCTTCATCAATTTAGTAGCGTTGTTTTATAATTTCAGAACTCGATACGAGATAAATCATCTTTGGAACGAGAGGCGTCGCGACTGTAATATAATTGGTAAGTGGGACTTGCATTTGTCTAACATGTAGCGTCGCCGCGCTATCGCCGTCGACACCGCCGCCGACCCGCGTCGCCGCGACACTTGTTTCGCGTAAGCTGATCTCACGCGGGACGAATTGCTCCGCTAATTCGCTATCTTAATTACGTTAACGCATAAACGCTATCGCCGTTGCCGCGGCGCTTATTTCGCGTAAAGTTAATCGCGCGCGAGACGAAGCGCGCTTCTTCGCTATCTTAATTATATTAATGTTTTAATAATTTTTTAATTGCAGGACATGATGGATAGAGAACACAACGATTGTGGAACGAGTACCGTTGCGAGTCATATAATTGGTAAGTGCGAAACTTATGTTGAATTTTTTACACTTTTATTTTTTGCTGTCGCAATAATATGATTAAGTTACGTGTGATTTATATCGAGAACATACGAGGTATAATGACCATGTGATCGTCTTTCTAGTAATTATGTTATAATTATATTTAATTTTAACAACAAGTTGTTTGTTTTAGAACAATTATCTGAATGCCACGTATATAAAAAAAGAAGAGAGAAGGAGATGATCAAATATGAGCATAGTGAGTATTTCATAATTTACCTTATTATTTGTTAAAACTAATGGTTTATCGAAACTCGGAAACAAAAGAAATAATTATATTAATCTTTCTTAATATTTATTAACATTTTCCGCATTATATATTAAATTTAAATGAATCTTCTTAAACTATTCTATCTTTAATATTCGGTGTCATATAGTTCAATTATTTAATGTATATAATATCTATTAAATTTTTATACGTTACGGTTGATAACAATGACAATTTAGAAAACTGATTACAAAATATGATTTATTTGTTTATGATCATCAATTATATGTTAATATGATTTATGTGTTTAATATTTTTTTCTTTTAAAGCTAAATCAGAAAGAAATTTTTAATTAATTATTCAATTTTATTTCCCATTTTTAATTTGCTATTGGTATTTTAAAAGCATCGCAAATGTGCAAATTTCAATAAACTTAAATAATGTTCTCTATAAGAAACATATATTAAATAAAAAGTATTCGCGTATGCTTCTTGAAATTGCTGGAAAATTTTTTACACTTTACTAAATGTCCGTTTCAAACATGCTTACTTTTTATTTAATAAAATATTTAAAACAATATATGATATAATATATAAATGTTTCCTTATATAAAATATCACGAACATCTTTATCGTGCAATAAGAAACAAGAAAATCAATTATAGAAAATACTAGAGATTCAGTGAATGACATACACAATAGAAGCTAGCAGAGTATTCATATAACTCTAGAAAAAGCAAGATTTGAAATTTATATTTTTTATTTCAATAACATTCATGTTAAATATGTAAAACTAATGATTTATACTCGGAAACAAAAGAAATAATTATATTAATCTTTCTTAATATTTATTAACATTTCCCGCATTATATATTGTATTTAAATGAATCTTCTTAAACTATTCTATCTTTAATATTCGGTGTTATATAGTTAAATTGTTCAATGTAAATAATATCTTTTATATTTTTATACGGTTAATAACAAATTATTACGATCGTTAATAACAGTGCATTAATCATTTTGAAAAAGCAATCGCATCCACTATTATAGAATATTAATTAAATTTATCATAATTCTTCTTTTAATTTATCAGTAATACGCGCTTGATAATTTAAAAGCACAATTAAGATAAATTTGATTAATACATCAAAGGAATAGAAATTAAAAGAGAATTATTGTACTCATTGGATCTCATCATTTATTTTGAATATTTCACTTAATATTTAAGGTGAGATTAAATAATGGTTCGCAGTATAGCTCGTAATTTGATTTGTTTGCCTATTCATTGACTGATTAATAGATTCCCTGATTGATTTAAAAAAATTTTTTTATTACATTTCTATATTATATCATTCAAATTCAGATTTTCCCGTTTGAGAAATAATTGCAATGACTTTTATCGGAATGCGATTAATATAAACTTTTTTTTCCTTTTCTGACGACATAATTCTCTTTTAGTTTCTATTACTTTGATATATTAATCATAATTATTTAAAAAATATTTAATTAAAAGATGAAAATGTTTGAATATTTGTAAGAATTATCTTTTGAAATGTTGAATTTTCTGAACTTTGTTTTAATTCAAATCAGGGGACTTGATAATCCAAATATTTTACGAGGAGACCTGACAACATCTAATTGTCCTGAGAGGAGGAGGAGGCTTAGGAGAGGCATCTGGCCCCGGTGGAGCAACCTTGGGGTAAATATCATTTTTTTATACTTGCATAAAGTCAAAAGTTTTTATTTATTTATTTGAACGATTTATCTTAATAAATTACATGTAATTAGAAATAGAGAAAAATTTTATTAAAATTGAATGAACTTTATATAAAATTTTTTTGAGGAGATATAGACATTTATATTAGTAAATATAATATTTGATTGAAAAACAAATTAAAATTAAATTAATTCAATACGCACACGAATTGTCTTTTAAAACAATGATTATTTTGAGCAATGTTTTAATTTAAATCTTTTATTTGTGTGTTACAGTATTATCGCAGCTTCGTGGCT